ACAAGGGGAGGGAAAGCTCTTTAAAAAGCGCTCAAACCGGTGTTTCGAATATGTACATAAGATTTGACTTTTTCTCCGGCTTCCTTTCTCCTCGACTGTAAGGTCGATGGCGATCAATATTTGCGAAGCACTTTCATTTTCGTGATGCGCTGCTCGAGATACACTCCCGTATTTCTGGTCAGAGCGCCGCTTTACCCACTACCTTATATCCATTTAATACCTTCATTGTGCCGCGCTCTCATGCGAGACCGCTTTGCACATGGGACGGAAAAGGAAGACGAAAGCGAGAAGCTGAGGGAGAAGGATAGAAACAAACGGAGAAGAGAGAATGCACGGGCGAGATGTGTAACAAACGGATCGCGGGTCAACGATCAAGGACCGGGCCCGGGTTTGTTTGAGCAGGATTTAAAGATCTTTCTGTATGACTCACACACACAGCTTTATTAAAGCCGGCTCTAAAGCGAATATATCTGGAGAAAGTAATCTAAGATTTTTTTAATAAATAAACGAGAGAGAGAATAAGTAAAAAGTGCGAGATATTTTTCAATATTTTTTTCATGTGCTTTGCTACTGATTTTATTTCGGCATTGAAAACCAGCGATGTGCAGACGCTGAGACAATAGCTCCTCCCGTCATCCTTCATTGTTTCGGCCGCGCGTCTGCAATCTTAAGAGACTACCCCATTATTATACATCCATCCGGAGAGGGACCCTCTTCCTTCGTGTAATCCCCGAAATAAATTGACGAGCACACGAGACACCTGCGTGAAATCAGACGGCATCTAGAAGCGCTTGCGCTCACTAATCAAATTTTATGAGCTTTTTACATTTCGAATGTTATTTCATGTATAAAATATTGCATAATATTTATGTTTCTCCGCTTTCTCGTTAAAAGTTTATTGTATTCTGACGTGCAGTAATCATTTCCAGCGTTTATTATGGTCACAATTCTTCTTCATTGATAATATGCAAGCGTAATTATATATATATGTAAAAAAAAAAAAAAAAACATTTTGCATTACGATTTAAAATGTGTATTTTAGCATCATCTATAATTTATTTTATTTACTCACTAATGGATTTTAATCATTCTTACAAAACACGTGCGCACCCGACACGTATAGTTAAAATCGCTCTTCCCGCGACTCGCGCTGATGTCACGGATCGAAACCGTCGCTTCCTGTATCTCGAGTGTGGACCTCCGTCGTACGTGCTTATGTTACATCATTACGCATTTGAATGCTCGACAAATTATGCTCCAAGTACCGCATACATCGAACGGCGATGTGTCACGGCGCGTGAGCGAACAACAGCCTCGGAATCTCTTTCACAACTCTTTGACGCCGCGCGGACGACGCTTTTCACTAGAATCGAATAAGTAGCATAATACGCGCAGGACGAATACGTGTGCCGGTCGCATAATCACAGGTAAATTTCTCTCGATGGGTGGAAAACATAATGGCTCGACTACCATAAATGCGCCGCGTTACGAAAGAACGAACGGGTATGTGTTGTATCTTTATTTCTCTCTCTCTCTCTTTCTTTCTATTTTTTCTTTTCGCTCTATCCATGCACGAATACACGCGTTTGTAACCGTACACGCATACTTACGTGAGTAACCGATACGCGTTTGTATCGGATCAAGAGAAAGAGAGACAGAAAGAAACACAATGGCAAATGGTATTCTATTATTCCAGATAGGCTCCGCGCGCATCTCTCCTTCGTTGCTCACGGGGTCCGCACGGGTTCCTCCGGGGAGGAATGCAGGCATGAAATCATTCTCCAATATCTCACCGTAGGACTCTTCCCCCATCGTCTCCCCTCGTCCTCCCCACGCTCAAACAACCACCGCGCGTTCGTAACCCGAAAGTAAATCCTAACCACTGGCATCCCCCACGTCGCGCGATACGCCCCTGTCTGCGCCGGTCATTCATCACTCTCGTCTAATAATCCTCTTTGCTCGTCGAGGTAACATTAATTGTGCCACGAGATGCATCGCGCTGAATGCGGCGGACACGCGTCGGGATGCGCCTCGAACGATGATGATCGATACTCCGCTTTTTTTCGCGGTTTTCACTTTAGCCTGGATTATGGTGCTTCGGTCCCTTTTATTTCTTGTCATCTATAAGAGCCGCGTTTAAGATTGAATGGTGCTCGTTCGAATCCTTTGAACGGTCGCTTTTACGCTCGACAATTTTAACGTTATATAGTGTTGAAATTATGGGGTACGTTTGATAAATGGTAGGTCAAATTAGTCATTCTGAAAATATCAAATTATAGTAGATATTAAAATATAATAGAATTAAAATGTAGAATTGTTATAAAAAGATTTCTTTTAAATTTATTAAAGATTCAAATTTTTATATAAATGCACTAATTAATTTGGCTCATTATTTCTTAGATAGCGCAATTATTTCATTTTGCACAAATAATTATCAGCATTTTCAGCACTTGACAAAAGTAAATCAGGTAATGGTTCCGTAAAATATAAAAAGTAAATACTTCACCATTATTTTCATATTCTTCTAAAGTTTCTGAAAAGGGCAGAAATGAAAATATTGATGATATTAATCGGCGAATTCTAACCATCCCTTCATTATCGCCTGTATTTATTTTACGGTAGGCAGGAAATATGGGAATATATGCATGTACACGATACGAAGAAAATTTCTATCTCATAAGCCACCTTTGCAAAATAAATTATTATTGCGCTAGTTCTCGCATAGGTTTTCCTCTCGCAATATAAACTCGTATAAAGAAGACAGTATTTCAGCATTGCAGATTCAGCGTTGCAAAAATTGACAATATATTTATATATGATACTAACTTCTTTGTAAGTTTCGATTCTAATTTATACTCGACAATATATTCTCTCTGGTATATTGCATGACATAATAGGATATCCAGCCGCGATACTCGGGCGAATTCAACGCTACATTTGTTCACGGCCAAATATTCGATTCTACTCTACTTGTTCGTAGACGTGGAATATTATTCCATGCATGTGACAGGTGCACATCAACCATACGTTACGGAAGAGGCTCTCTTCGTTCTTTCGTATGAAAGCGGAGCAGGTTCTATGCGCAATTCCACCTGCTGTAAACAGTGACGGCGAGTCACGTCTCGAGAAGTGTAAATTTGCAGATCGGTATTTGAGACATTTACCTTAACTCTCACGCATTCGAGACATTTATCTTAATTTTAATATACAAGATAGTTCAGAATTTCGACTCCATTTACCCATGACCCATAAACCCGGTAAATCTCGGAACGGCAATAAAAAAAAAGTACCATAACGGTGTCTCATTAACGCGCGCGGATCTCACTTTGTGAAGAGGTTGCCTAGTAGCGTGGCCACGCTGCCGCGGCTCAAAGGGTGCGAAATAATTGGGACTCTCTCGAGGGAACGGGAGAGTGCGGACGATCACGGGAAAAGAGAGCGGAAAGCCTTTCGAGCGAGAGCGTATCGCACGAGAGTCATCATCTTCCGCCTATCGACCATATCCGCGCGTATATCTCTCGCTTTCACTCCCTCGTCAGCTGTTCTCCCCTGGAACCCTTCCGTAGGTCCACGTATGATACCCCCGCAGTGCGTTTGAATACTCCGCGACGCTCCAACCTCCGTAAACACGCGTGATTCGTCCCTTCATGGAGAGAGAGAAAGCGCAAGAGCCAGACACGGGGTTCGCGGAGATGGCTCTCCCCGGTTGGATTATAAAAGGAAAAAGATTTACAACCCTCGCGTATGAGATTCATATACACTTCGCACCTACCATCGCCTACGGGTGGCATCAAAGAGTACGCTGTCCCCTTTTCTCCCAGCATTCCTTCTTCTTCAGAATTGAATCTCTGTTTTTCGCCTTTCCGCGCCGGAAAGTGCCGAGCCGAGGGAGCGTTGATGGCGTGAACAAGAAATATCCCCGCTCCCCGTCGTAATCGAACCTCTTTCTGCTTCTGGTCTCTAAAATCGAAGATGAAGGAGAATACTAAAGCGAGAATCGTACGTAATGATTCTAAAAAGGCGCTGCTGCGTGTAACATTAGTGCGTGAAATGAATGCATATATGTGACATACTCCTTTTCTATCCGACTGCCGGAACGAATTCATCATGGTGGTTGCTTTTTATAATGAGTGTCGAACTATCCCCTTTTTCCTCTCGGGAATCGGAGAAATGTTTGAGCTCGCCACGGCAATGCTGTAACCGAAATAACGGCCGGCATGACACTCGAGCTTGTTTGATCTGCTTTGTGTCAGTCCTGTATTTAGATAAAGTGACAAATACAAAAAATATTAAAGCAGAACTTTGAGAAATTCAAGACTAAAAGATTACGAAACTTTTTCAACGCACTATTTTTTGTCTATAAAATAGAAAAGATCAAGTATAATGTTGCTTAGGAGAAAATATAACATAATATATTCACGAATATAAAACATTTATTCCTTTTAAATTAAATAATTAAATAACGTGCTATTACTCTCGAAGGAAACTTTAAATCATTATTATTACTTAAGTATCATTTTCACGCGACAAGTTTAAAAAACGTATGTTTCACGCGATTTAAATCAAATAAATTTGTCCTGTCATAAATCTACACTATACATATTCCTTTACTCGATTAGAGCATTCTGAACAGAGTTTATACGGATAGTCGTGTATAAAAAAAAAAAACCGCATTCACGGGAAAATTTCTTGTCACCGTAAGCGCAAAATCTCCCGACTGCATAAAGAGAGTGGACAGTCGCTCCAAAACTCACATCTCGAGAGCGAGCGGTGTAATACCGCCGCGTAGCCAGCGAAAGCCAAGGAACCGAGAGTCGCCGACAAAGAGAGAGAGGGAAGACAAAGAGAGAGAGAGAGAGAGAGAGAGATACACGTACGGAACAGCGCGAGGGCTTCGGCCAATGTCGGGCGATTCCGCCGACGCTCGGCGCTCGAGCCGCCGCCAGCCGAGTCTGCCGACGCGAGACGAACGGCTCGCTCGTCGCTCGGTCGACAGACGCGTCCGCGACGCCGAGTAGCGAGGTTGTGTTCGTTTACTCCATCGACGAGAGAGCCGTATCTCTCGGGCATTCGCGTCCTTATACTCTTAACTTGGCTTGACGGTCGTCGCCGCGAGAATTCGATAGTCGTGGTATCGATGCAACAGTGGTGTTTCGTTCTTCCACAGATATTTCGCCGATTCGGATACCTTCTCGGAATTCCGTGGGAATCGTCGCGAGTGCGATTTTGAAAGTGCTATTCGACGCGTCGTCAGTGCTTAGAGGATACTGTACAGTGCTTGTGCCGAGAGGGGATAATATCACCCTAAATATTGTGGGATTCCGTCGTACTCATTGCAGTGAGATTTACGCTGTGTAACTAAGATCTGCGATCGACAGTCTTCGCATCTCCGCGTCTCGACAGATATGTACGTGAAGGCACGAGAATCTTCCTCGAGACGTCGCGCTTAAAAAGTGTTAAAGTTATGAATCCGCCGATCTAGCGTCGTCACGGAATACTCGTTTTACGCACGCTCCACGCATTCGTGACTGCCGCCGAGAATCCGAGCTTCGACTCTAACATGTCGAGCGGTGTCGCGTGCATTCGCCGTATCGAATGATCGACGGCGAGCGACGGGTAGCTTCGCGCTCTGCGACGATTCCAACCAAGAACACGTACGTCCGTAGCATTTCGCGTTTTTGTAGCGTCGTAGCGGCAATTCCGCGATCAGCATCGTCGCTATATCATTTCCAAAGAATCTCGGAAGGAAAACTGAACCGATGAACGATCTGGTAAGCTGTGCTCCGGGCGAGAAAAACACAGGCTGGATCCATGGAACCGGTGCTATCATCTCGGATACCATCGACAACGACGCGCCGAGAAAAACGAATCGCGTCTGATTGCTCCGACTTGGATACGTGTAAAATCGAAACCTCGTCGATACGTTGAATCTACGATAATATCTCTCGTTGAATATTAAAAATCGTCGAAGATCATTATATTGGATTTTCTCGGGATGACAGTGTGAAAGCGACGGGAATTATACTGATAAGGTGGATAAGGAGGCGTCGCAGGATCGCCGCGACTCGTCGACGAAAAAAAACAACGGTCAAAGTGGAGTGTGCATGTGGCGGAGGTGCGACAGTGGTGGAAGAAGTAGGTGGTCGTTGTGGACGACTGCAACGAGGTCGCGGGCGAAAGTGCAACGGGTGCTATTGGTGTCGTTGGTGGTTGTTGTCGAGTCCGAGTGCCCGTGGTGACGGTGCTAGTCGTCATCCACGTTGTTACCATGGTTTCCACGTCCTTCGTAACTCTGGTGTTCCTCGTGTGTCTACAAACGGTACTACTGTCGACTGTGAGCAATTGCGCCAAGACGATCAGCATGTACTGGAACACCACCAATTCCATGTAAGTGCGAAACTACAAATGCGTGACACGCCTTTTCCCTTAAGATCCTAATTGCCGCGACGAAACGAGGAGCCTATCATGTTAATTCTCCAGTGTAGTTTTTTAAACGAAAAAAAGCGAGAGAATTTCTCTCTCTCTCTCTCTCTATCCCGCGAATTCGTAATCGCGTTAGTTTGTTTGTTACGCAATGATAAGACATTGGACGGGAAAAATGAAAAAAGTTTGGTGAGAATTTCACGATTAACTCACTAGTCATGGAGAACGCGAAAAAAATAATGAATTAAGTTGTATGCGGCAGTAATTTATTTTCTTGAATAATTCTATTTTATAGAAATTCCTGCATATTTTCTTATCGAAATATGATATCTTATTTGAAAATTCTGCAAAATAAATAAATTCCTATCAAAAAACTGTTGATAATGAATTTTTTTAAACTGAAATTATATTGTGCGGAGCAAAATCATTTTCGTGCGAAATATTAAAAATTCTTATCACACATTTAATTCTAAATGTGGAGTAAAAATTTGATAGTCACTCTTACACTTGTGTTAAATGTGCACTAAAAAAATATAAATCTCTTTTCGTAACATATTCAACAAAGAATACATGCACACAGCTACATGTGAACGGACAAACTCAACTTTATCCGCTTCTCGTACCGGCATCGTTTAGAAATTTTCTTTAAAGCTCGAGACCTCATGACAGATCTTTTCCCGGCATTTTTCTCTGCCACCGCCCCGATGTCCCAATCTTTCCTCTTGTCGTTAGCGAATCGCGCAGGCGAAGAGAACTATACGTGCATTTGGCGCGTGTGCCAAGACGTTTAAGATCGTCCGTGTGTATGTTTGTAAGCGAGCATTTTGCCGGCAAATCGATTTCTCACGGCGGGACCGGCGTCGTCGTTTCGAATAACAGGCACCCTCCCGCTCCCTTGGTTGATTCTCGCTCCATTCACTTCCGGCGCGCTTTTATCGTGCCGGGCGTGGTATCATCGCGTCTGCCAAAATTGCGGCAGCGGCGCCGCATATGTGTATGTACGTATGTACGACTTTAATGCGCTGGCGAATTGGCCGATGTCGGTCGTGGCGAGGATTTCCTCCGTGACGTCCAAATTGCAGACGATCGTGGAGAAAAAGAGAGGCGGAAGCGACGTGTCAGAAGCGCGCCGGGATTATGGCAGGCGCAATATTGTAGCCGATGTTGTGCCGCTGCTGCTGCTGCTGCTGCTGCTGCAGTCGCGAACGTGCTGTATAGAACACTCGATGCAAATCGGAGGAAAGTTCGTTGTAACGGTAGTGGTAACCAATCCTGTGATTGACGGAAGAGAAGTAATTTCGTAACTAAAAGTCCGGAACTTTTCGATATCGAAAATTTCGAAGCCCGAAAGTTGAGAATTTCTGAACCGCGAACTGAAAATTTCGGAAATGTTAGCTTTAAAGTTAGGAGTTAAAAAATTTCTGGCAATTGGGATATTTCGATAGTTTTATACACACACGTGAACAATTTCGAATATATCGAATTTCATTTTTCTCAATGTTGCAAGTTTCGAACTGCAAAAATTTTCGAAATTGAAAATCTCTACAATTTTACCAAGCAACGTTATCAATCTCGCTTAATCCAATATGTAAAGGATATCGTTTAATTCGGACGAAATATCTTTCTCTAATAGGATATATATCTTTGCATTGACGTGAAACGCTTTTTGGCAGTAATTGGTCGATAAGAACGGTCAAACACGACTTATCTAATCGAGAATAGACGCAAAACTTCAACGAATCGCGCATGCATGCATGTAAGTGTATGCGTGTAGATATGCAACATTGTGACCGACTTTGTAGCTGAACTCCTGTTCGCTTGCCTGCATAACTACGCGATAAAGTTAACTGTCATAGTCTCGTAACGTTTTCTTTCTTTTTTTTTTTTACTACAAACACGAACCTTATACCTCGTTAACCCCGACAATTTCTTTCGTCTAGTGTGAAGCGGTTTGCGTAATTCGCGACAGACTTTTTGTTCTTTGTCCTCGACGACGAGAGATATGTATGTCCTTCCGACTGTATTTGCTTGGGCTATTCGTATTTTGCATCTCGAATCCACCGATCTTTCGAGTGTAACGTCTCCATTTTTGCGCCATGGTAAGAAGCTGGCCAATTTTCTTCCCAGATCGAGATAATTTCGATCAACGACCTCAATTAATGATGTCAATTAACGTTTGATCATTTCAACTGCTGCTTTAATGTCGCATCAAACTCCGATAACACATCTTTCTTTACCTCTTATCTTTAATCTTACATCAGATGATCTAAAAATCTCAATCTTACACACCTCTAATTATCCAGTGAAAAGACAAATGTCCGTTTCTTCGCTTTCAATCGCGATTACAAACTTGCGTTCTGTAACCGTTTATAATTGCATCTGTCGCTCGCTTAACGGGATGATTTTTATTTTGTCAATTTGCTTTAACTTCGAGGTAGAGTGTCGCTGGCACAGGAAAATCCGGACGTGTTCTATTCTCAGCTTACGAAGACCCGGCAAGTCAATCTTACCCTGACCTGACTTTGACGATCACGCATGCATTACAAGCCGGTTACGGTTTCTCGGTGAGCAAGCGAATGCGTGAATCAGTGAGTGAGTGAGCGAGCGTTGCACGTTCTCGCATACGTGAATCCATTTCGCTCAGGAGAAGGGACGTTGTCAGGCGTATGAAGGGGCAGTAAAAAAACGCGCGCGCCTTCTTCGCGAGGCCCGAAAAAAAAAGAGTCCCGAAACGTGCAGCGGGGAGAGGGGACGTGACAAGGTGCAAAAAAGGCGCCCGGGCAAAACGGGAGGTCGTAAATCTCGGCCTCTTATTGGGAAATCGAAATTCGTTTTAAGAAAGCTATCGGCCGCTGGTGAGAAAACGAGAGAGAAAAAGAGACAACCGATGCCGCTTGATTATCATAAATCTGTTTCCGCGATGATCGCAGCAACTATCGAATGAAGCGTGAACTCCGACGTTTACTGCCTGTTCGAGAATGGATCGCTCGAAAATGATTGCCGCTCTCCGTAAGCTTTGTACGGTTTATTAAAAGAAGAAAAGAAAAAAAGAGAATTTGTAAAGCATGTTCGCGCGGGTTGTGCAAACGGTGACAGCGTCTATTATGAGAGCCATATCGTGCTCCGTTTTTTAAATCGCTATACGAGATACGCACGCGAGTCTCTCTCTTTTTCTCTCTTTCTCCGTCTGTGTGTCACTTTTCATGCAAACGAGCGAAAAACGGCCGAGGACGAGAAGTCGTGGCACATCGCCGTTGGAGACTTCAATGCTAACAACGAGATCCGCGCTGCTAGATTATTGAACTCTCTGCTTCTTCTTCTATCTCTTCTCCCTCCTCTCTAATGATATCGCGGATAATTTTATCGCATTCAGTAACGGCAAAAAACTAACAATTTTGATGCTATTAAATCTGTTCTTTTTTGTTATACTTTATCTTAAGCACAATCTTTCTTTTTATAAAATTTAAAGATACGCCTGCTTTTTGCTTATATTTCAATAATAGTGTTGCTATAATTATACAGATACGAACATTTCCGATATTGTAAATAAAATATAATTTTTTTTACCAAGCGGTTATTAATATTTTTATGCAAGTATAATGCTTCTTCTTCGTATGCTGACTTCTTGCAACGTCGTTTATATCGTCACGATGAAACAATGATATCCGTGCTAGCCGTAACATCGTTTCCGAGTTCTTTTTTTTTTGTACGATAAGCCAGTAGATATAATCGATATCTTCATATAAATATCAGGTTTCAAGTCTGGTGACACACTTGCCCGGTCACACTGCACTCTAATATTAGTTTTTTGTTTGATTAATACATCCGATATACCAGACCTCGACGTCGTTACGAACAATCTTAATGAATGGCGAGCATTGGCTCGATACCAAGCGGCCAAGTCGAATACCCGGAACTCGCGACCGCAACCTATTCGTCATATCGCTGGAATTACCAGTGTCGGGATATGCTTAGTAGGTGGATTTCTATATGCATCATTGTATAGATGCGACTGGTCGCATCTTTCAAAGAATTCGTGCAGTGAATTCTGCAACCGTATACGTGTATCTCTCTGTCTCTCTTTTTCTCTTTGCGAGTTTGTTCCGTTTCTCCGAACACGCGTGACATTGTCGACAAAATTGCTGCTCTCGTACCGTCTATGTAGATAATGTAAATTATCTGATACGTGTTGAATATATCGTTACATGCGTATACTAAATCAATGTTTTGGTTAAATTTATTATTGTAAGATGATTATTTTTTTTTAGATTTAAAATTACTGGACAACGATCGTTAAAGGAAAGATATTAATTAATTTTCCGCGAAAATGCGTCTACTCGTTACACTTTAGCCCACGGATCCCGTTATTAAATTGCCATGGTACACATGGCGAGAGAAGCTCGTTTTTGAAAGCCGCAGAAGCTTTCTTCTATTATCCGCCTTCGTACCTTCGGGTACCGTGGCGCTTTACAGCACCGAGTATTAAAGCAACATCGATTTACAGCCACCGCAAATCAGCGGTTTCCCGAGGAAACTAGTACCCTCCGTTCCTGAGGATTGAGAATTCGCTGGTCGATTCGTGGAAATAACCCATTGCTTGGGCGCGCTACCGTCATAGCGAATCACGCGGAAACCAACGGATGTTTCAGTCACGACGAGCCATGAACGGCATCACGTAGGCGTAAAAATACTCATATCGGAATCTTAATCGCCATTAAAATGAACGTTGCTTGTCGCCGTAAATTTTAGATATCGCGTTAAACACCGATTGCACGAACAATATTCTATAATTCAATCGTTTTGGATTATAAATTCAATAAATTATATAAATATACTTTTTAATCGCGTAGATAAAAAACCAACCGTTGCTATTAAACGGGAATTGATATACGTGTCAATGAATTTTCTTTTAAATATCTCACGAACACAAAAATTTCCCGTTATCGCTTGACAAAATATATATA